GTCTAAAGTTGAGCGCATGATGAACCGCAAGATTCTGAAGACGACTGCCCGAGTTCCTATGCTTCAGCCCGAGGACCAGACTGATCAGCATTGTTGGGCCTTATGGTGGTCTCAGCCCCAGCGGCAGAAGAAGCAGGCTTTGCACTCTGCCGAGCCTCCCTTTCCCTCTGTTCAGCCTCCAACTCCATTCTCTCAGCTTCTTCTTCGGCTTCCTCGGCCTTAAGGATTTCAGCTTCGATGGGAGTTGCATATTTCATGTGAGGGTCTTCGGGATCCTGGACCCATTCAGCACATTTGGACCAGTCCAACTTCGGCTCAGCATGTAGGCAAACTCTTCGGCACACTCTGAACCCGTTTCTGAAACCCATTTCATACTCTTCTTGGGTATAGACACGGACTTTGAGTAGAGCCTCAGCATCGGCCAACTTCTTCTTTGTCTCCTCCAAGTCTTCCTTGGATTTCTTCAGCTCATCGGCGAGCTTGGAGGAGGAACCTTTCAGCTCATTTAGCTCCTGCTGAACTTGGGAAGCCTCAGTCTGAGCCTGGGCCACTTCTTCCTTTTGTGCCATCAGCTGATCCTCAACTTCTTGGAGCTTAGCTCTCTGAGCTTCAGCAGCAGCAGCAGCCTCTGAGAGTTGGACATCCCTGGCTTGGAGCATCTCTTCAGCAACCATTCTGCTGGCTTCAAGAGCTTCTAGCTGCTGCTGCACTTCAGCTTGTGCAGCAGCTCCACCTTGGAATCGGCTCTCAATGGCGGCCTTGAATTTGGAGATGTCCACTCCCATGTGCTCTTGGAGAAATTTTTCCCCTTCCATCAGTGGGGGAAAAACTTCCTTCTCCATAGCATCGCAGAAGGTTTTGAGGGCTTCAGCAGCTTTCCTCTCATATTCTTCACCCTTCTGCTGCTGCTCTTCAGCTGCTGCTTGCTTCAGCTTAGCAAGCTTTAACTCCTCCTCGGCTACCTTTTTGTCGTGCTCGGCAGCGTCCACCCTATCTTGTAGGGTATCTATCAGCTCTACAGTGAGAGTCTGATTGTGCACGAACTGGAAACAGGAGCACAAGTTAAAATAAAAAATAATAATAATAATGATAATTGAAGAGCTGAATTTAAAAGGAAATAAAGGCAAGGAGAATCACCTGCATCATCAGCAGTTGGTTAGACCTGGCTGGGTCAGGAACCGATCTGCTGGATTCGCCCATCCCAGCAGTGGCCTTCAGCGACCAGATTCTTGCCCTATCTACTTCGGACATGCCAGCAAAATCGCCGAAGTAGGCTGCAGCACCTTCTCGGTTCCGACCCCATATGAGGTCCCAGATGTGATCTGGGATTGGAATTCGGGGGGCCGAGAAACCCATTTCTCCAGATTGCAGCGTCTGGAAGGAAGGAAAGGATGACGATGGAGCTTCTTTAACTTTGGATGGCTCGGCATCCCCCTTCTTCTCAGAAGAGTCAATTATTATGACTTCTTCTTCTTCAGGTGTGAGGACGAAGGCCTCAACCTCTCTTGCAATGTCTGTCGTGAAACCCACAGCACGGGGCATCACAGCATCCTCATTCCTGTGCTCAGCAGCACTCTCTTGAACTTCTTCTTGGACCCCTCCCTTAGGTTCGGGAGTTTTCTGATCCACCTCCATCTCGGGAGGTGGCGGAGAGGTCTTCAGAGGTGATTGAGGTGGTGGCCGGGGAACCCTCAGCGATCCATTAACTTCCTCGGGTTCCCTTATATCAACGCCGATGGTCATCGGCCTCCGCTGAAAGTCATGCGGGCCGATGATGGCCATTCTTCGGCGCCTTTTCTGAAGCGGCTGCTCGTCCATATCTGAGTCTGAAGACTCTTCTTGTATCTGGTCTTCGGGACGAACAGGGGATTTCCCTTCTATGTGTCTGTTACTCTCTTCAGACTGTAAAAGACAGGGGGGAGGGAGAATGTGAGTAAAAAAAAAACAAACAAAACAACAGAAACAGACAGTCTAAAAACTCACCGAGGTCTTCAGCAAAGCCTCGTCTTCTTCAGCTGCCCTAGCTGCAGCTTCTTCTTCAGCAGCCCTGGAGGACCCTTCTCCTCCTTCACAAGCTTCAATAACCCGTGCAACCTCCTCGGCCGTACGGGCAGCTTCAGCTTCTTCGTCCAGCAGCTGAAACCAGGGATCTCTCTTCTTCCACCAAGGCTTTTGCCTCTGATACAGAGCAACAACCTCAATTTGGAAGTGGGAAGAGTCTAGATGAACTTCCCTGTGCCTCGGCTTAGTGATAGAGGGGGCCCGATCAGATACAACTCGTTCTCGGTTGACGCCAAGACGAGCGTAGTTGATGCCGACGTTGGTCTCGTCCCGCTCTGAAGAAGAAAAGGAGAAAGGTCAGTTCAGTTAGGTTGGCACATCATAAAAAAGTGAAGTGAAAGAGGAAAAGAGATAATTAAAAGGCCTCGGCCCCAGCTGAAGAAGCTTACCATCCTTAAACTTTCGGCTGAGGCCGACAGCTGCTAGCATGTTCTCTTGGAAAACATAATGCGTATCGGGGAGCCAAGTCTCCGGGATGTGCTGCATTCGGCCGCTGCCCCCCCCGGTTCGGCAGCTTGCCGAAGATGTTCTGTTGATTAAGGTTCGGGTCTGGGCCGTTATCTTCGGGAGGACCTAAACTTCCCATGTCGGGATCAGGCTCAGCAAGATACCGGGGAGCGCTGAAGACGCAAGGGTGGCTCGGGTCCGTGGGTGCTCTAACCCAAATCCATTGGCCTCTCCAGTCCTTGTCTGAAGAGTCGTTCGGCCACATGGTTAGGTACGGGGGCCGAGACTCAATCCGGTACCACCCAGAGCCATGACTTCCGTGCCCACTTTGAATATTTGGCACTAGCCGATGGAGCTTTTTGAAGCAGTGCAGGTTCGGCACATACCTGAAGAACTTGCAGACCCATAAGTATGTCATCACCCTTCGGATGCTAATGGGAGTTAGCTGGCATAGGGAAATATTATAATGGATCAGCAAGTCTCGGACGAATACGTCCAAAGGGAACCTCAGCCCATACTGAAGTTGTCTTGTGTACACCCCCACATACCCCGGGGGTGGACGGTGGATTCTATCGGATGCCACGGGCATTCGGCACCAATACCCATCAGCTTCAAGGATGCCGTAATGCAACTCAATTTGTTCGGCAAACCGATATTGTTCGGCATTCTCCACCCACCATGAGTAGGGGCGGTTCTTTATCATGGCCGAAGCTACTTCGGCATCCTCCCACTCTGAAAACCCGGGAAGGATATCCCAAAGGACAGCGGGAACTTCATCGTCTCGCCCAGAAGCGCTCGGCCCCTCCGTTCTCTGAGGAGGAGCCGAAGAAATGGGAGTCGCCCTAACCCCTTCAGCAGGGTCAGACTCTGCTCTTCGTCCATTCCAGGTCCCAATCCTGTCCCTGGGATCGGGAATTGGCCTTGCTCTTCTTGGAGCACGGGCTCTACCCCTAACTCCTCTCGTCATTGATAATTTCGAAGAAAAAGTCGAAAAAAGGGGGAAGGAGTTCAAATTTGAAGAAAAATAAACTAAAGTCAAAGGAATTTACCTTAATCTGAAGCGAAAGTCGCCGATTTACGAATTGGTAGTGACGAGTCTCAGTTTCTAAGCTTAATGCTCGGGGAATCTGCGAAGTTTTGATGCGGGTTCTTGGGTTCTCTCGAAAGTTCTGGGTTGTGTTGGTGAATAAGTGAGGAGAGACGACGCGCCTCTAATTATATCTCCAGAAATGGGAATTTGGAGAGTTCGCGTTTCAATTTCTCTTAAATACCCCACTAAGTAACCGTTAAACACGCGACCTTGCGATTAAACCGCCCATTATCCGTCCAACTTCCACAATTATCCGCCTTAACCGTTGTTATCTCATTAATTGCGGTTTAATTACGGTTTAAATTCACATTTGTGGATTAATTGAATCATTCACTTCCCTCCTTTTCTGATTAAATCAAACCCGACCCGTCATCCTTCCAAATCGGGTTTGGGGGGCAAGTTGTTTGGGTCCAATTTAGTCCAATTGGGCCTAGTCATTAAATGATCCAATTAAAAGCCCAAGGTCAAGGTTCAACTCTCCAAATGCGCCAAAGTCAAAGATCAGTCCTCAAGGCAAGCCAATTGGGCTAAGGCCCAACCTTTCCATACATGCCAAGGTATAAAAGCCATCAATATTACATTTTTATGGGATTTTCAAAAAAAGCCTCAAGCAATTAATTCTCTTGCATAGTGTTCTCTTTCTACACACAGTACTGACTCTAGCATCGGAGGGGCCTTCCTCGGCAACACCCCCGAGGCTAGTTTACGTGTGTTTACTGTGCAGGAGAGCTTCGGCCCAATATCACTTGGACCGAATCCAGTCTTCTCCACTTCATCGGACCTCCGGCAAGGTCCCATTGTTTTCATCCGAAACATACATGACGAATTTTATTTCCCAATTCGGATGTATTAGAACTCACCACACTGAGTTCCTTTCTCCCCACTTCTTGAGCAACATTGTGCATCAAATCATGTATTCGTCCTTCTTTACATCTTGAAAGAAACATCTGCGTAGCAAAATAAAAAAATGATCCTCTGCTGCATCTTCAATTCTATGCTTTGACCCCCGTCAAGTGACTCAATATATCCTTGCGCCATCCAAAGACTATTCATTTCCTCCCTCTCTATTTCAAAATCATCCAAAGAAGTCTATTTTAAGGTGTTGTGATATTGTGGAAATATTCCAATTTGAGAGTGATTTATAAAATACAATTGTTCTTGAGTGATTTTGGTATTGTCTGTCAGGGATTTGTCATGAATTTACAATCTTCTGAAGCTGAAGCAGGTATTGACATTCGGGTTCCACCTACAGCTGATCAGAAATCACTTGAAAGGCGTATTGCTGAGGAGTGGGCTCCTGCTTGATTTTTTTCTTGCTGATTCATACAATGAAATAATAACCATTGTTGCCTTGCATTGTGATTCACATTTAATATGCATGCTTATGCTATTATTTGATCCGATGGTATATGCTGTACTAATGTAGCTGTTTCAATTGTGGTGGTTCTCTATGGCTCTACTTGTTTAGAACTTGCCTCGGAAAGGGATTCAAGTGTATAGACTGCATCAGGAATGTTAAAAGCTTAATCACAAATTGCAATTGATAAGAATCAATGAACAAGAAATGCCAGCAAGAGCATTATTCTTCTCTCTTATCATCTGGACCTGTTATGTAAATTCCTGTTCATATGGCCACATGTTGAATTTTTTCTTCTATGGTTGAAGCCTTGTAACGTTGTAAGTCTTTTACGTGTGCTATAAGGCTTGAAAACTTGTAAGAAATGTGCTTTATATGGGCTTCAGTCAAATAGTTTTTTTATTTTTTATTATTATATTTTTTTAATTTATATTTTTCAATTTTGTAATTATAATCAATTGATACCGAGGTTTTCATGGACTGTTTAAGCATGAGCTCTAATCTGCAGAGAATGTGAACTTGAACTGAAAGTACATGAATCCAACCTTTAGATATCAAATCCCAAGTTTAGGTGCATATACTAACAAGTGTATATGAATTTTTGGGATGACGCATGTGTGTACATGTGATAGTTACACCCCTACACTAGTACTTTGTTGATATCCCCTTTTCTGTTTGACTGATATGGTTTTGGCATGTGGCAGTTCAAGCAGAAGGTTCCAGTGGTTGACAAATTTGGCAAGCCTGCTCTCACAGCTGCTGATGATTCAAATCCCTGGTGGGTTCTTTTAGAAAAAGCTGTCCGTGATTCTGGTGGAATAGTTAGAAATCCGGAGGTAAGCTTTGGAACAACGGATGCTCGTTACTTTAGGCAACAAGGTCTGCCAGCTATTGGATTCTCTCCTATTGCAAATACTCCGCTCCTTCTACATGACCACAATGAGGTACATAATAGCTTCTGTCCTTAGATAACAGTTGCCTAAGATACAATTGTTCTTGAGTGATTTTGGTATTGTCTGTCAGGGATTTGTCATGAATTTACAACCTTCTGAAGCTGAAGCAGGTATTGACATTCGGGTTCCACCTACAGCTGATCAGAAATCACTTGAAAGGCGTATTGCTGAGGAGTGGGCTCCTGCTTCACGCAACATGACATTTGAGGTAGCAGTTGCTTGATTTACAAGATTATTTTCTTGCTGATTCATACAATGAACTAATAACCATTGTTGCCTTGCATTGTGATTCACATTTAATATGCATGCTTATGCTATTATTTGATCCGATGGTATATGCTGTACTAATGTAGCTGTTTCAATTGTGGTGGTTCTCTATGGCTCTACTTGTTTAGAACTTGCCTCGGAAAGGGATTCAAGTGTATAGACTGCATCAGGAATGTTAAAAGCTTAATCACAAATTGCAATTGATAAGAATCAATGAACAAGAAATGCCAGCAAGAGCATTATTCTTCTCTCTTATCATCTGAATCTGTTATGTAAATTCCTGTTCATATGGCCACATGTTGAATTTTTTCTTCTATGGTTGAAGCCTTGTAACGTTGTAAGTTTTTTACATGTGCTATAAGGCTTGAAAACTTGTAAGAAATGTGCTTTATGGGCTTCAGTCAAATAGTTTTTATTTTATTTTTTTAACTTATAATTTTCAATTTTGTAATTATAATAAAATTATAATCAATTGATCACCGAGGTTTTCATGGACTGTTTAAGCATGAGCTCTAATCTGCAGAGAATTTGAACTTGAACTGAAAGTACATGAATCCAACCTTTAGATATCAAATCCCAAGTTTAGGTGCACATACTAACAAGTGTATATTTTATAGTGCAGACTGTATCATGAATTTTTGGGAAGACGCATGTGTGTACATGTGATAGTTACACCCCTACACTAGTACTTTGTTGATATCCCCTTTGCTGTTTGACTGATATGGTTTTGGCATGTGCAGTTCAAGCAGAAGGTTCCTGTGGTTGACAAATTTGGCAAGCCTGCTCTCACAGCTGCTGATGATTCAAATCCCTGGTGGATTCTTTTAGAAAAAGCTGTCCGTGATTCTGGTGGAATAGTTCGAAAGCCGGAGGTAAGCTTTGGAACAACGGATGCTCGTTACTTTAGGCAACAAGGTCTGCCAGCTATTGGATTCTCTCCTATTGCAAATACTCCGCTCCTTCTACATGACCACAATGAGGTACATAATAGCTTCTGCCTTATTTGTTTTATCTTTCAGGTGGAAACAATTTCAAATTTGATGTGCTCTCTTTCTGATTGTAAGTATTGATATAGAAATTTATTTGTGGAATCAAGCACATATTTACATTGCATGTTACCAAGGTTGCCTTTTTATGAGAATATGAGATAGATTATGTATCCAGCCTGTTACTAGTGTGGAGTTGTTAACTTCATAAGTGCTAGTTTTGGTTAAAATTTCTTTCTACTTGTAACTAGTAATTCTGTACTTGTTAGGAGTGTTTTATGTACTTGATACTTTTGGAGTCTTCTTTATACTTTGCTGATTAAATTTTGAACTTAACTTCTATTCTTGTGCACTATATAGGATGTACTAGAAACTTTATCCAGTTGTATCAGATTTAAATTCAGGTCCTCAACTGAAATACAACCCTCTGAATGTTGTTCGGTGTGCTGTGGGAGCCAGCAATTGTTGCTCTTCTACTCTGCATTCTTACAAACTACTTGTATCATTTACATTAGGTTTATACTTACTTTCTAACAATTGCATTTTTACTTGCTGCAGCACCTAAATCAACGGGAATATCTTAAAGGAGTTGACATATATGCTTCTATAATCAAAGCTTATGCTTCTTTTGCAGAGGAGACAGAAGCTAATGCTTCCAAAGCTGAGTTGTAAAAGAACGATTAGTATCTTTGCCCATTGTTAGAAAACTGTACTTTTCATCCTCATCACCCATGCAACCAAACTGAACTTCTCTCTAACACCATTGTTTATAACTTGGTGCAACCTGACAGAAGATCTCAAAGGAGCAGATAAATAAGCTTCTATCATCCCGGCTTATGCATCATATGAGCAAGTGTTTAAGAATTATAATAGGATATTATTGTATTCACTAAATATGGAAAGTAATTAGGGAAATCAAATTATTTAAAACTTCGTGATATCACATGAGATGTCAATCAAATCTGAATCTGCTAAGTTCACATTATGGAGATGGTTTTTCGCTTCATCATTAGTTAGAATTCACAACTAATCATCTCCCATGAAAGGACATTTCATCCCAACTATTCCCAAATAATATGATATAAAAAGGGACATTAAAACATAGAGGCTGTGCAAGTGTGCATCTATAGTTTTGGTCATAGCGTAGCCATAGTTATTGACTTATTGTTGACTTATATCCCCTGCCGCTATCTGAAACTTAAGCAAAGTTCACTCAAAACTCCATTAAAATGGAATCAAGAACAAAACCCATCTTCTTCCTCTTCTCAATTCTCTATTTTCTCTCTCTTCTCTTCATCTCAATCACAGCAACCCAAAACCCATCTTCATCAATCATTTCCAGATTCCAAGAATACCTTCGAATTAACACTGCTCAACCAAACCCCAATTACTATGAAGCTGCTGATTTTATTCTATCTCAAGCTAATTCTTTATCCCTTGAATCTCAGACTATTGAATTTGTCAAAAATAAACCCTTAATTTTGCTCAAATGGTCTGGAAAAAACCCTAATTTGCCCTCAGTTATCCTTAATTCTCACACCGATGTTGTTCCGGTTGAATCCCAGAAATGGACTTATGACCCTTTTGGTGCTCATATCGATCCTCAGGGCAATATTTATGCCAGAGGTTCTCAGGTAATTATTTCAATCTAATTTTTAGAAAATTATTTTTATTGCAAATGAAGAAAAACTATATACGAAGTAGTACTATTATTGGGTATTTTGTGGAGATGAACTTTGTATAATTCATACTTTATACTCACGTAGTGATTATGGTTTTATCAATTTTGACTCTATGTTTTCCTTGCTGCATGATTTTAATACTACCTTTGTCCGGATTTAGTTGTTGCATTACTGGTTCAAATTATACTATCCACATGATTATTAATTCTGGCTGGAAGAAGTATAACGGCTTTAAATTGAGGGCGGTGGAGTTGAACATGAAGAAGGGATTGTGTATTTGAAAAAGGAAGAGGTGGGTAGTAGAGAAAATACTGTATTTTGCAATGAAAACCTGTTTTATTGTAATAGAATTGAACTTTGCCAAGTCCAAGATGATGTACCTTGTTTTTTAGTCATTCTTATATGGCTATGAATTGTGATGAAATACTTGCAAGCCTAATAGTTGTGAAGTCAAAATTTTTGTCCTTTGATTATAATGGTTATACTGCATGTAGAATTTGTTGTAAGGTAACAATAACCTGCTGCATATCTGTATATCTGTATTGGTCAATTAAATACCGCCTCTTTTTAAGTCTTTATAATCATAGGGTAAAGCTGTGTACATGTCACTCCTTAAACATGTTAAGGATGGGAGCTTATAAAGGTGCATAGGTATTGTTGTTGTATACTCTGTAGATGGCTGATTATCTTGTGTGGGACTTTTGTTGGCTGTGTAGGATATGAAATGTGTGGGTTTACAGTATTTGGAAGCTATTCGGAAGCTGAAGGATTCTGGGTTTGAGCCCACTCGTACCATTTATTTGACCTTTGTGCCGGATGAAGAGATTGGAGGGCATGATGGGGTGGAAAAGTTGGCTGAGTCTGATTTGTTTAAAAAAATGAATGTGGCCTTTGTTCTAGATGAGGGACTTGCATCACCAGGAGAAAAGTACCGAGCATTTTATGCAGAGAGATCACCAATGTGGACAGTGATCAAGGCTACAGGAGCTCCTGGACATGGCGCTAAGTTGTATGATAATACAGCAATGGAGAATTTGTTAAAGAGTATTGAGATCATAAGGAGATATCGAGCGTCACAATTTGATATGGTAAAGGCTGGCTTGAAAGCTGAAGGAGAAGTGGTTTCGGTGAATATGGCGTTTCTGAAAGCTGGCACTCGAACTCCAACTGTAAGTCTCTGCCCTGATTTTCTCCAGGCTTTATGTACTGTAGTCAGTAGTAGAAGCAGCTTCCATGTTGAATGTTTAGTTCTGCTCTCGAGCCCTGTTGTCCTCTTATCTTCATTCTTTTTTCTTCATTTCTTAAAGCTTTGGATTGAGCAAAGGAAACTATTAGTGCCAATCTAGGAAAATCTTAAAAGTAGACATAAAGTTACATAATCTGTTTGAAAACAAATAGTTGACTCTCTCCACAGTGCTGGAATCATGCCTGTTAGCTCGTAGTGAGACTTTCAGTTATGTACCAATTGTACACAGCAAAGGTTGCCTTTTCATCCCAGTTATCAATTTGCTCGTTGAAGCATGCCTGTTCCAGGGCCTGGTTTCTGGTGAAGGTCAGGGAGATGGGACAGATAATGGTTAATTATCAATATAGTACTTGATAGTAGGATGAGTGATGAGATGTCTTATGCCTTAGTTTAAGTTCTAACATGGAGATTTTCTTTCTTTCAGGGTTTTGTCATGAACTTGCAACCTTCTGAAGCTGAAGCAGGTTTTGATATTCGGGTTCCACCAACAGCTGATCAAGAAGCCCTTTTAAGGCGTATCGCTGAGGAGTGGGCTCCTGCTTCACGGAACATGACATTTGAGGTTAAAATTTCTTGTCTGAAGGACTCTTCTATCAGTTTACGTGATAATCATTTAATATTCCCAACCTAGTGCCCCTTCCCCTCCCAATTTATTGAAGAATTATATGTGATGTGTGTATTTCATGTTTATTAGTTTGACAAAATCTCATTAATCTTCCTAACATTTTGATAACTAGTCAAATAGATAGCCATGAGTCATGAGCTATGATTAATAAATGCCTGCGGGGATGGCGACTCTAGATTCTTCCTCTACGCAGTCTTTATCTAAGGAAGTTGGAGGAAAAATGGGATTTTCTTTGATGATTGCCAATGCTTGTTCTAGTTTATCCATCCTTTTGGTTCTTAGATTGCTTACACTCAACATATCATAGCATGGGAAGAGATCAAAATTCAGTATTTGTCCTCTAGGTTATTCTTCCTAGATTTCAAACTCCCCTGAATGTAGTGAATTAAGGACATACAAATGGAAAAAGTCCCACTTCTCAAAAATTCCAGATTTAGAATCCATTGAGAGTAAATCAAATGACTGAATTAGATTTCCTAAGTTGCCCAACTTATACCGTAGAAAGTGTAGATGCTACAGTTGTGTTAGGGTTGTCTGGCTAAGCGTAGATTCGACAATTGAAGTAGATTTGAATCACTACAGTGAATCTGACTAATGAATATGCTGTTGTTAATTGACTGTACCAAACTTAATAATAATATCCAAAATGCTGTTCCTATCAGCATTTCTATGGCTTAGACTGTGATTTCAAAGTGCAGAGACAAATTTGCCTAATGTTTGTAAAAAATTACGATATATTTTCTGATGGAAAGGTACTCAAAAGTTTGACTTGCTTCTTCCTCAAAAAATTATGTCATGCTCAGCCTACAATTATGTATGTTTATTTCCTTGTAGTATGGTATTTTACATGCTTAAAATTTTATGTAGTAGTACTTGTTAATTATATGGCTACTTGCAGAACATTTTCTACAGAATCTACTGCTGTTATCTGCTAGCTGAATAAAGTAATGTCATGTGCTGCAATCTGTGTTTATATTACTGATGATGTCTATTATCATTTTCTCTTTACCAAACAAGGTCAAGGATATGGAAGGTGAAATAGTGTAATTATCTGTTATCTTCATTATGCCAGTTGACTAATATGTGTGTAGTATGGGCAGTTTAAGCAGAAGCAATCTGTGCTTGACAACTTCGGTAACCCAGCTGTCACTGCTTCTGACAATTCGAACCCCTGGTGGGCCCTTCTAGAAGAGGCTGTTCGCAGTGCTGGTGGAGAACTTGAAAAGCCAGAAATTTTCCCTGCTTCTACAGATTGTCGTTACTTTAGGCGACAAGGTCTACCTGCTATAGGTTTCTCTCCTATGGCAAATACTCCAATTTTACTACATGACCACAATGAGGTACAGAATATTCTTGCCTTGATTCTTATTCTCTTCCTTGTATTGCATGGACCTAATCCACTTTTGTCTAGTTGTATGTAAATTCAGTTTCTGAGACTGTTGATAAGAAATCCAAGCCTGGACTCAATCCCATGATCATATAATCATATTGAGAACCCTATTTTATTGTTGTTATGAACTAATCATCCTTGGTCTTAAAACCTGAAACATTAAAGATCTGGCTTCCCCTCTTTTAATTCTCTTATAATCTTATTATGGGCGCGGTCTGTTTGATATCTGTATGTATTTGAGTGGGAAGGGTGACAAACTGTCTCCATCTCATAATCTGGTACTCTGGTTTTTAGGGGGTTAGTGCTGGAGGGGCTTCTATACTCGAAAGAATTAGATCTAACTGCCACCACGCACTCTCTACGTAGCTCAATCGGGAAGGAAAATGGTCACTATATTTGAACCCTGGCTGTGGCCGGGATGGAATTAATCTTACCAACTTATAATTCTAGTGTTCTCATTGATGGAATATACTTCATTATCTCTTTTTGTTGAAGGTCGTGTGAGCAGTAAGCCAGTGGGTGGGTTTATAGGATTCACTTATGCCAATACAATACAAATACAAGAGGGAGTTGATTTTTACACTCCAAAATTGATTTACTCCCTCACACACACAATTATGGGAAATCATATCCTACAAGAGGAGTATACAGACATGGGTTCCAGCGTATCCACTAGTTTAGGAATAATGAGTTACACCTTATAGTAAAATGTAAGATGACATATTTCTGTTGCACCCAGTAGATATCAGACACTAGAAAAGCAGTTAAAATTTTAACATTTCGAACGTTCTCATTGTGCTAGGCTGCTAGCATAAAAACTCAACAATTCTTGCCTTTGTTTC